CGACCCAAATATGTTAACAGAAAGAAGGGATATATTTCAGTTAAATGCTAGTGCATGTCTAAAAAAAATATATAACTTTTTGATATACGGCATGGGAAAGAGAAAGTACTAACGTTGCAATTGGAATCTTAAAACAAAACTATATTAACTTTATATAAACATAACATTAAAAAACTAACATTTCATAAGAAATCAGCTAAATCGGTCTAGCCGTTATCGAGTTTTTGCCAGACAACGAACAGCCTTTGATTTGTATTACAAGAAAAAATAAGACATATATGTAAATTATATAGATATATAAGATTACAGTAGGAGATTGACTTGTATCTTCATAATTTAACTCCTCTGATGTGCCTAATGTAATGATATCTAATAAAGGAAATAAGTCAGATTCACCTTATTTGGCCAAATGTAATAAGGGAATAAAATTGATACTTAAAAAACACCATGTATTTATGTGTTGGTTTTGGCTGCTTTGACAAAAAAATAATATTATTGTTTGATATTCTGAAACCTTTAATAGTAGGTAATTATTATTGGAGGCAATTTTAAAGTTAAGTTTGAAATCTTTCACTATGTTAACTAAAATTTTAATATATAGAAAGTTTGAAACCTTTGGATATGAGTTATGCTTTAAACGACGCGACCCTTTTAAAGTATAATACATATCATTGCTCTTAAAATGAGTCGAACAAACTACGCTGCGCGAAGTTGGATTCCGTGAAGGTTCATTCAAACTATTACGAATGACTGAAATCCACTTCTCTTTCACATTTTGATGTCGGTTTGGAAATCTAAAAATTATTGCAAAATGGTTTAGTAAAAATAAAAAGTAAAAATTAAAAGCCGTTTTTTATTTTTTACTTCCTTATTCTAACACTTCAATACATAGGGCATGTTCCGATATACACTGCGAGCACTGCGCAGTGGTCTTACTGCTGAAAAATCCGTTCCGTTATGCCAGTACACTGCTACAGTACCGTAGGGAAATTTATGACGTCATGAATTGCCGCCATATTTGTACTGTGAGCACTGGAGATTTCGAGGTGCAGTGCTCGCAGTGCTTTTGACCACGTGATCAGTCGAAACAGATAAAATAAAATACTTACGTTTATTATAAGATGGATTTGATTGATAAATAATTTTTTTATACAATTTGCCAATTTTATAATATTTTCTTTTGAAAAGAGGGAATCTTTATATTTATATTCACCTTGCATTAACAAATTTGAAAATGGCGCCAAAAATAGGATTAACAGTATACTGGACTGCGTTCCGTTTTAAAAAGTCATCAGTATAACTAGCTATAAAGGAACGGGCTTCCAGTATACTAAATTGACGTAATACTGTTCAGTGGTCGCAGTGTATATCGGAACATACCCATAATCATATACCCACAGTGATCTGTATCTGTACGTAGTATGTTGCCAGAAGCATCGATCCAGAACGATTTAAATTTAGAACACTAGATTTCATATTTCAATAATTTTACGAATAATTGCCATACAGAAAAAAAAAAATCCGAATAAAGAATGGTGACGGTATAGTCTTTCCGAAAAGGTGATAAAATAAAATTAGAAAAAGAAATAAGGCTTATGTTAAGGTTGCCTGCAAGAAATTGCTTTTTAGCAATAAGGTCGCCCATCGTAGGGAAGATGAGCCCAAAACGGGTAAGCTAAGGGAGATGTTCAATAAAACAATCAAGAAAAGTAACTGCAACTTATATTTGTACTCATAGGAATGTTTATTTATTAAACTTTTGAAAACAAAACACAATCATAGTACTCTTCTTATGTACTCAAAGAAAAATAAAGAAAAAAAAAACCTTCGAACTACCCGCTTTGCCCGTAGGGGGGGCCTAAAACGGGTACCGTCTTTGGGCAAAACGGGTAATGAATAAATCTACGAAATAAATCAACTAAACTATAATTTTTAACATCTTAACCTTTAATTATAACATAATGACTTTTTTTATCCTTAATCAGACTCCATAACAATCACATTATTTTTTTATCTTATTTAAATCCTGCATTTAAAATTACATTTCTATCATTAATAAACAAACTAAAGTTATTCTTGACAAGTATCACAGTAATAAGAGCCTCTACCAGAATATCCAGTGCACGCTTTGTGAGTCCACATTTGGCAGTCATCACATCTGATCCAGTCTTCGATAGGTGGGTGTACATATAACTCAGAACAAACCAAGCATGAATATTCAGTTTCCTCATTTTTACCTTTTCGACCACGTTTGGTTTGGGTTTTGTTTTTAAAATTTTATTTATAACGTCAATTTTAGTTTTTGAAACTTTTTTCTTATTCTCTTTTTCTCGTTGTTGATCTTTTATCGGTGTACTTGTAAGTATTTCAGCTTTCTGTGGCTTACGTCTTCGAGTAGTTTTTTGTGAGATCATTTGAGGTAGTGGCCTGATGTTCAGTGGGGTCATATGCTGTTTTTCAGGTTGCAGGCCCGTATCTTCTGCTAAAGTCTTACATGGTGTTAAAGGTTCATCAAAAGATTGAACAACTGGAGTTGGAGTATTACGCGAACTTATAGGTATCACGCCGACTTGTTTTTTCCCGACTTGCTGTGGACTCTTGGAGGTTTGTTGCTGTTGGTTTGAATGCCAGTTTCATCAACGTTGTAAATCTGCGTTGCGTCAATGCTAAGGTTTTTAGATCTCTCCTTCGAGTAAGTCAAAAAATCTTAGTACTTGTGGTTTGTTAAAACCTCTAGCACGTGCTATTGATGTTGGTTCCGGACGGCGAAGACTCAAGTCTGGATGTCGATTTTTAAACCCCAGATACCAATCTTCACCAGCATTTTCATTTTTAAATGGGTGTGGAATGTTATTAATCTGAGCATACTGGAACACAAGCTCTAAAAATTATTTTTTAGTAAGTCCAAAAAATAAACTATCCATATGAAAAACATAATCAAGAAGGTCATTTTCTTGACTTGTCGTAAAGACAGTTGTGTACCTTCCAAGTTTCTTTTCTGAGCTACCTTTTTTAATATGCCGCTGTAACGTTGACAGATTTATGCCGTACTTCTTGGCTGCAGCGTTGACAGAACCTTTGCCAGCTTCTTCCATAGCACACTTCATAACTGCCTCATCCCAGAACGCATTTGAAGTTTTTCTTTTATACTTATTGACCATCTATAAATAATAATAAAAAAGAAATAAGTAAATAAAACGACATTTTAGTCAACTAAATTACAACACTAGAATTATGTTCTTGTCCTAGTCTATTCCAGGGCAAATCGGGTAGTCACCCGTTATGCCCCTACCCGTTTTGCCCAAAACACGTTGTAAATTTCAACTACCGTAACCTAAAAATTGTAAACACTGGCGACGACTAGGTATTCACAAAAAACAAGCACATTACTTGTAAATGATTATGTAAAACTAAGAAGAACATCATTTGCACTATATTCGAGTAAATAACACTAGCATAAGTCGTTTTTTTCTTCAAGAAGGCATCATTAAGCTACCAATGCGTTGGCAAAGATGTATTGATTGCATGGGTGATTACTTTGATTAATAGAAATAAGAAAATAAAGCTTCATTTATTTTATTAAAAACGGAAATTTCATAGATAAAGACTTAATTAATACTTCAAATCCGGATGAGACCGGATTTATCTGATCAGATGGTAACTAATGGCGCATTACCAACAGTACCAGCAATACCAACTCTACGCCTTTTTAGGTACATCTACGTATTATAAGCCTTTCCTACAAACCAACGTATTACAATCAACCACAGAAGCTAAGTATTTTCTACTAAAAATTTTCAAATTAGCTTAACACACTAAAGGGGCATAATTTTCGGTAGTTCTGCAAAAAAAATTAATATACGTTCCGTTACGTATGTGTGCGATAGTATTATCGCACATTCACCTCGTCACAAGTCACGCCATTAATTTTAAAAATCAAGTACTGTATTTATTTTTACCCACTCTCTTCATCTCACTAGGAAAAAATGAATTTTCAGTTCTCCGTAATTTTACGTCGTACGTAAAACCAGCTTTTTAAATAAATAATAATTTTACAATTAAATATAAATAATTATTCTTGTTGTTATATTTCAGCAATTTTTCATTCACAATGCTATATTGAAAAAAAATATTATTAAAAAGGAACTAAAAAATTTAAAATAATTTAAACCTGATGTATTAAATATATGCATTTTTATATGTTACATTGTGATTGACAAACAAATAAAACGGAGGAAAAGTGGGTGAAATTTAGCTTGTAAGATTTGAGTACAAACACAGAAAACTAAATAAAAGCTTACAAAAATTGTTTCTAATGAAAAATGCTTAAAAAATCCACTTTGTCCCTGGAACCATCTGGTCTAAGATTTAGGTTTTTGTGGTCTTTAATAAACAAATTTAAATTCAAATCTTTTTTTAGAAAAGTATTTGTATTTATAAAAAGTATCTATAAGATACCTATTTTGTATCTAGTATTTCAAATACTTTTCTCGAAAGTATTTCGTATCTGGTATCTGAAATACTTAATTTAAAAGTATTTTGTATCTTCTATGCAGATACTTTGTACAGGGTATTTTGTACATCTCTGATTGTTCATTTGCTGATGTAAATAGTAAAATTTTGTTAAAGTGCCCCCTCTACAAACTAAACAGTTGTTGGCAAAAACTGAAACATTTCTTGATTATCTCAATAAATATTTACCTTCAGCCATGTCCCAGATTTATAAATAGACATATATAAATAAATAGTGTACCTACTATTAAACGATTTGGTAACCTATTATCCCCTCTGGAATAAGAACAGAGTTCCAGCTCACAACACATTATTTCGAAAATATGTAACTTTGCTATTATCTTATTTCAAAATGGACTGTTAATTAATTAAAGGATTCTATGTCATGAAAATTCATTTCAAAATCCAGTGTAGTGCCTTTAGACTGGCAGCTTAAACAACAAAAGGCTTAAAATAGTCATAATCTTGTCAATATTACAATATAGTGTGCGATACCTTTGCATGTTACTAAAGATTTCATAAAAAGTTAATGTGCATTCTCAATGTTTATTAGAATTGAAATTTGGTAAATTATGCAACGGATTACTTCTATGGGAGAATTAATCAGTAACAAAGAGATATTAATGATGAATGGAGTAAGCGAATCTCCATTTGACTGTTTTTAATTTTAACTAAATTCAACATGATTATAATTTTAATAAATAAAAGTAACATAGATACTCATTTTAAGTAATTTAATTAAGGAAATTATATGAAGTTTCTGAAGCGTGCTGATAATTCTGACATAATATTCTTATAGATGTAGCTTGTGGAAGAGATGGGATCTATGCTGGTGTTGAACGATCCTCTGATGTCTATATCTGTGGAGGTGGTGGTCTCTTCAATGACTTCATTGCCATTTTTTACAATCCTTCTTGTTTCAATAGTTCCATCCGGTTTGGTTACGCTCGTAGTAATTATAGTTCTGCAGAATGACCTTCCTGCCACTAAATTGCCGTCAAATGGTGTACTTTCTTTATTTCTGTTTTCTTTTTGTTTTAACAGCCCAGAAATTTCGTGGGACGAAATTTTTCCATCCAAATCAATGTCCTGATTGGGTTGTTCAAGTTTTTGATATCCAGGTTTCAGGTAATAATCTCTAATGTTGTTGCTATTGTTGAAGCCCTCCGGTTCAGGAACGTCTCCGAAACCGGTTAAAGTGTCAAGCTGGTCATCATGGAAAAATAAATTCACGTCATCAAAAACTGATCCAAAAGACTTGAACATATCATGCATTTGTTTAGAAATGTGTTGATGAAACTCAGCCGGGTCTACGTACGGTTCGATTTGCTGTCGTGTATACAGTTCATCACCATCGTCATCGTCGTCAGAGCCCCAAATAGGATTTCGGAAATCATTTCTTGGCGGTTCCTGCCGGATCCCAAAGAAAGTTTTTAGCTTATCCATAAACGTACTATTGGACATTGTTATAAATTAGTACTTGAAAATTTTAATATGACTATTGCCACTGTTTTGAGTGTTTTCAAGGTAGGTTGGGTTTTATTTTACTATTACGCAACAAACAAAAGTCACAATTCGGTCACAATCGCTCAAAAACCTAAACAATACTCGCCTTTTAATCTAAACAAAGCAAAGGGATCTACTAGATTGTTATGCGTCATGTATTTGCGTGTGTGTCCTGTGGGTCACATTCAATTGATGCAAAATAAGAAAAGTTTAGTGTTTTGTTAGTTCTGCGTTAATTCTCTCTCTACTGTAGTCTTCGATCCTGCATCTTTATCTCCAAAATAGATTTGAAATAACTTATTATAATAGTATGTAATATGTATTTCACTTTCATCAAAAGACGCTGCACGGTCTAGATCCCTTTGTTTTTAAATAAAAATACAACATACGTCACTTTTTGTAGGGATATGCCTTACAATATAAATATCGATTATTACGTTGATTACTATTACTTAACTATTACTAATTAAACATTCTAAAAGAAAAAATATTCATTTTTGATCAATTTTGCATTCACAATAATCTATTGAAAAAATCAACTAAAATTATATTCGATTTAAACTGATACGAAAATGTTTTTTTTCTGAAAACCTTTTTAATTGAATTTAAATAAACCAATTAGTAAGTAAATTTGAATTCAATATTAATAATTCGGTCTAGATTGTTACAAGCATCTGTGAACGTCGAAAACTATGTCATTGCCAATTACAAATACGCAAATCTACAGTGGGAAACCTTATACTGAGAAGAACCGGCAAGAAACTTAACAAGATCTGCTTTTTTGTCCCATTTCATACAGAAAACTATTGAAGAAATATAAACTGTACTTAAACGTCACTTAAGCAGGTTTTCATTTCTAATTTTAGTTTTAGATCTTAAGATTAATCAGTTGAGATTTTGAACTTTTCTCAATTCAAAAACCGGCCGTTAGACTATTAAACCAAAGATTAGGTACCTACTCAATATGTGATATAATCGATAATTTTTCACATCTCTATTTTCTTGTTTTTGAATGAGAAACAGGAAAAAGTTGTGATAAAATAGAAATAATATATTATATTGTGCGTGCTAATAAAGATATTCCACGTAGATAATAGTAAGGTTGAATCTTGGCGTTATTAAACTTTTATAATTTTATATAAAATCTAGACTGTAATGTGAAAAAAATATCGTAATGTATTGTTAGATTCATAGGGGCCAGTTCCTGTTTTCTTTAATTTGAAAATTAAAATTTGGATCTTAGGCTTTTAAGTATCTATGTGAAACTAATGATTTGTGGTATCCAACATAATCATTCAACATGAAATGTAAAATAACTGTCGAACATAGAATAAGCCCTTTTGCCTAAGTGGGGAATTCCATGAGTAATGACGTGTGTATGTGGTTCGAGAGATAGAGTATGGCCATCATAAGTAAAGAAAATGTGTTCGTGTGGTGCATGCTATGGACTGTTACCGTACGCTCTCAGTCTTCTGTTGATGAGGCTATATTCAGACCCATATGTGCACCTGCAGTTGACTTTAAATGCCAAGCAAGCGACACTGCTCATCTTGATTTTTACTACACAATTAATGGTGAGTTTTGTTCCTTTAATTTAAAACATTAAACATGATGCAGTGCTAGTTTTAATCTGTTGACAAGAGTGCATAAATGTAAAATGCAACAACTGGTGTTTTTTTTTAATATGTTGCTCAATTCTTTCATATTGAAGTCTACAACCAACAAATTTTTTATGACTAGCTTTTGTATGCGACTTCCGACTTAATCAAGTTTTAAGTCCAGAAATGAGAAAATTCTGTAAAAACTTTCATCCCCTAATTTACTCTTTTAGGGGTACTATGTCCTAAATAGAACCTGCATGCAAAATTTGAAACTCCTAGAGGATGAGTTTGTGTGACACTGTTACCACAAGTGACTTTAATCCTCAAATTTAGCTCATGGAATTTTCTAAAACCTCTCTTAGTGCTCCTCTACACTCTACCCTAAGGAATTTTCATTACAAATTTCAACTTTCTGCACTCAGCAGTTTCGGCTTTACGTTGTCTGTCAGTCAGTAATGTCAGTAAGTAAGTCAGTAACTCAATAATGCAGGAATTTTATATATCGACGCTGGAAAGCAAACATGTAGTAACCCGCAAAACCAAAATGGATATTTAAAATAAACAATATCTTATTTCTGTACAAATTGACTAAGGAGCACCTTCTTTGTTACCATGGACGTTTATAAGAATTATTTATCAAATAAAATAAAAGTTTTTCCACTCTGAAGAACAATTTTGGTTTTGCGGGTTACTACGTGTTTGCTTTCTAGCGTCGATATATAGATAAATAATATTCAACTTCGTTCTCATTCAGTGGGGATTTGTCAGTAGGGATATGTGGAATAGGGGTATTAAATTGAATGCGTTATTGATAATATTTTTAGTTTGTTAGTTCAAATGGGAAATTGTATTGCACTGATTTTTTACCTTTTATATAATACAACTAGGCTTAAAGTGGTAAACTCATTTGCTCTGTAACCTTGTAAATAATAATTTAACATAAAATTTTTTTCATCATACATTTTACATATTATCCCAGATTTGGGATGTGTGTCAACCCTGGGGCAAAATAAGAACTTGTTAACTCTTGATTTTTATGGAATTGGCATCTAGATTGAATACTGCCAAAAATGTACATACTACAAGTCTACTGTACATAAATCTTTTACTAATAAGCCATTCATCATCTGCAAGAGTATCCTTAATAATAGGGGTTAAAGTATGAAATTGCCAATTTGTACTGAAAATCAAAATTGTATTTTTTTTTTTAATTTTTAACAAATTTATTTAATCAAAATAGTTACCATTATTATCTATATGTTATGTATGAATGTCAAATATATTTTAATTAAAATACCGACAGGTTATCTTGTTAAAGAATAAGATTAATATACGTGGGTAGTTAATTCACTTGGCACTTTTCTGTCTTGTTATTGTGCAGGCTACATAGCTTAATAAATGGAATTACTTAATTTCGTGTTTTAATAGACATAATACTATACATTGCTGCCATCTAAAAGGAAAGCAATTTATAAATTTGCGATAGAACTCTGAGGATCCAGATTGCACAAACTGTGTGAAAACATTTTGTCATGCCTCCTTGGAAGAAAACTTCTTGTCATGTAGATAATTGTTCAAATCACGACAAAAAAGGTAGTCCATTGGAGCAAGGTCTAGCGAATATGGAGGATAACGAATGGTTTCTAACTGCAGTTCCTGATGTTTATGATTGTTGTTTGAACGACCCTCATATATGTGTCGTTCACGCCCGAACCGCACTTGACCTTCACGTTCTGAACCACCTCTCCGTCTGTTTGCCGCTATTAATATTATTTTCTCTTTTCTTAACCCAATGTACTTCATCATTTGTCTTGCTATTATTTTCTACTATATATACAGTCGGCCAAGAAAGTGGTCTACCACCCTAAGGTTGAATTTCGCGTGTTACGTCAACTAACAACAAGGTTGATTTTCCGTAGCATTAATTTTTTGACACGTCAAGTACACGTCATTATTGCTATCTTCATCATTTTGACGTAACCTTTGACAGTAATTATCTATACCTATAATAAAAATGTAACAAGGTTACATTTGTAAGATATTTTGGAAAAAAATATATGGACGGCCTTCATAAGACTAATAGAAGCCAAAAATATTTTTTTTTCTGTCTGTCTGTTTGTATGTTTAAATACTTTAGAGTTAGAATATCGTAAATAAAGTCTTATAGTCTACAAATATCCTACATTAGAATGTAGATTAATTATATTTTAATACAAATAAAAAAAATCAGTAGGTAGTGAAATGCTATGCGTAAGAAGCTATGCGTGTTATAGGTCTGAATATACTGAGATAACGGATAACAGAAATGAATAGCGACGAAAAACATATTGCGCCGACCCATAGCTTAGTGCGAGACAAGGGCTAAAACTAGAAGAGATAGTGAAAATGCTAATTCTTTGGTTGTTAAAAAATATATACAATTCTTTTATAAAATTATAATTCTTAAAATCTTGTGTAGCCGCCATCTGCCTCTATAACAGCTTGGAGACGTTCCCTCATCGAGCCCACCAGTCTTGAGCAGATATCAGACCCACGTGTTTCCTCCCAAACCTCATTGCAGTGCCCTTGTAGTGCTTCTGCTGTTCGTTCATTACGGTTACACCATCTCTGAACCATAAGACCCCACATATTTTCAATAGGGTTGAGATCTGGCGATTTTGCAGGCCATGGTATCAAGTTTATTTCCGGATGTGCATCAAACCAAGCACGTGTTACCCTTGCTTTATGTAAGGGACAGTTATCCTGTAAATAATTAAATTGACGCATTTCATTTTCTGGATAAACGTTCCGGACGGATGGCAACATAGCATTTTGGAGAACATCAACATAATCTGATGCCGTTGCTCGTGGTGGCAAAAAGGTCAAGTCTCCAACACCATCAGCAGTCATCCATCCATACAAATTTACCGAGATACGACCCGATTCTCTATTTGGCACGACATGATTTTGCGTGTATCGCGTTTTATTGAATCGCCAAAGGTGTAGACGCCCGTGTTGACTGGATTTAAAAGTTTTCTCGTCACAGAAAACAGTGTTACTCCAATCAAAATCCAAATATTCTATGGCGAAATTTAATCTGGCCATTCTATGAGCGTCAGTCATATAAATTTTCTTTGCATAACGCCTGTGATGTAAGCCCATGTAATGTAAATGGTTTCTAATGGTTTGGAGAGTCACGTCAAATATGTCGGCAAAATAACGCGTTGGTATAAAGCCAGATTCCTCATAACTCCGTCTCATGAAGACTCGCTGAGTATCTGATATTTCAGGTCTACGACCGCTACGACTCCGAGCGTTCAAATTCCCCTCCTCGCTTTCTCGTCTTATCCAAAGACGGACAGCTTGTCTCTATAATCAAAAATAAAATATGAACAGAAAAAATAAAAAAAAAATTTACACTCGGACTTGGTCTGAGATTTTACATTAAACTCACGTCAGACATAATAATACTTACCGACACATT